ACAGTACAGAAGGAATGGTATACCACAATTTGAAGCTATTATATTCTAAACAGAGGTACTTCACTCATAAATAGAGCAGTCACATTAGCCAGGACTTAGGCTTCTATGAATCTATGAATGTGGGCTGGCTCTCTGTGAACACTGCTGTGAAAGCTACATTTTTTGCAGACCACCTAGGCACAGGTAGGATGGTCTGCCTGGTTATTTATGATACCTGCAAGCAATGTGGTTGGTAGTTTTACATAGCTTAGATGTTTGTTTTTTCATTTTTTGAAACAGAATTTTGCTCTTGTTGCTCAGACTAGAGTGCAATGGCAGGATCTCACTCACTGCAACCTCCGCCTCCCAGGTTCAAGCGATTCTCCTGCCTCAGCCTCCCAAGTAGCTGGGACTACAGGCATGTGTCACCACATCCAGCTAATTTTGTATTTTCAGTAGAGATGGGGTTTCTCCATGTTGGTCAGGCTGGTCTTAAACTCCCAAACTCAGGTGATCCACCCGCCTCGACCTCCCAAAGTTTTGGGATTACAGGCATGAGCCACCGCGCCTGGTCATGACTTAAATGTTCTGAATTATCTGGGGATCATGAATTTTCTATCAAGCCAGGGGCCATCACCAGCATCCTGGAGAACATAAAGATGGTTCACCCAAATGCATTGGTTCTTTTCACTTGCAACCACAGTCGAATGTGGGCCTTAGTGGCACTCATTTCACTGCAGATGCTAACAAGCAAATGTGGCCAGATGACTGGTCTCTTCCAACCAAACACACTAGGCAAAACACACAGCTAGCTATCAGTTTGGGGAGTTCATAGTATTTGGCTCCAACACATCCTAACAAACCCTCCTATAACTACCTACAGAGGGCAGTGCTTTTCTAGGCTACATCAAAATATTGCTCCAGTGTGGCTGCTGAGTTCTTATTCTTGAATGAACCATTGAGTAGTCTGTGTTCTGGGCTTAAGACATGCTTTTATACAGTCAGCAATGACTGTAAAAAAAAGGAAGCCTGCCCAGTTTTTACTAAACTAGATTCTTTTAGTTTTACAGCATAGTTCACCTACCACAGTGGAGAATGGCATGACCAAGTATACACTGTAATTTCTATGTAAAAGTTGGAAAATTAATCTCAGATCATATTTAGAAATTATCTTATTGTACCATGATATAAAATAATAACCTATTATGCCAAAAATTTTAGAAAAAAAGTCAGCAGGGAAAGTTGTGAATTTACCATGAAGTATGGGCATATATTTATTCAAAACAATTATATAGCAGTCTTATTATTTACAGATCCAAAATGAAAGTCAAAGGAAGGATTTCTCTAAAAGTTTTACACTTGTTATATGAACTTAATATATAATGGTGTAAGCTAGTAATGACATCTAATGGCAATTAATATGTATTTTATTTTATATACCTAAAACATCATGTTTATTGAAACTGTTATGCAATTTGAATTAAACTGGCTTGGATCTTATGCATTATCATCTAAAGTTGCAGGTATTTTTTAAAAATGAGTTTGGTTAGCCCTTTTATGTTTGCTTTTTGTTTGTTTTCCAATGGAGAATTTTATTGGCTTGTCATTAATTTTGAGCAGAAAGCTAACAGGTATCTACTTTGCAAAAATGTATTTGTTTATTTCAATGTTTATCCTATCAAATGTATTTTCTTTTTTTTTTTTTTTTTGAGGTAGAGTCTCACTCTGTCACCCAGCCTGGAGTGCAGTGGTGTGATCTTGCCTTGCTGCAACTTCCGCCTCCTGGGTTCAAGTGATTCTCATGCCTCAGCCTCCTAAGTAGCTGGGGCTACAGGCATGCGTCACCATACCTGGCTAAATTTCGTATTTTTAGTAGAGGCAGGGTTTCACCGTGTTGGCCAGGCTGGTCTCAAACTTCTGACCGCAAGTGATCCACCTGCCTTGGCCTCCCAAAGTGCTGGGATTACAGGTGTGAGCCACCACGCCCGGCCTCAAATGTATTTTCTTTTTTAAAACGGGGTTTCACCATATTGGCTGGGCTGGTCTTGAACTCCTGACTTTGTGATCCATCTGCCTCAGCCTCCCACAGTGCTGGAATTACAGGTGTGAGACACAGCGCCCAGCCTTGTATTTTCTAATAAGTCAGAAGGCCAAAAAATAATCTGGCAACTTCTAGCTTTTTATTCAAGTCTTTGTATTCCTGTTGCTACTATAAACAAACAAACAAATAAAGCCTAAATACATTTACCTGAGATTTTATTAGAAAATTCTTTATTTCATCTTATCATTAAGATACTTGGCTGGGCGCGGTGGCTCACGCCTGTAATCCCAGCACTTTGGGAGGCCAAGGCGGGTGGATCACGAGGTCAAGAGATCGAGACCATCCTGGTCAACATGGTGAAACCCCGCCTCTACTAAAAATACAAAAAATTAGCTGGGCATGGTGGTGCGTGCCTGTAATCCCAGCTACTCAGGAGGCTGAGGCAGGAGAATTGCCCGAACCCAGGAGGTGGAGGTTGCGGTGAGCCGAGATCGCGCCATTGCACTCCAGCCTGGGTAACAATAGCAAAACTCCGTCAAAAAAAAAAAAAAAAGATACTTGGTGGCTTTCCCAGATAATCATACACATTTAGCTCTCCTATCTTGACTTTATCCCACATTCACATATTTGTTCACCTCTAAAAAATATTTTTATGTTATCAATACCCTATAGGCTTATTGCAAAAAATGTTAAAAAAATGTATAATCCTGCTACCTAGACATAATCACGTTAATATTTTGTTATATATTTCCTAAGGCTTTTCTCTGTGCATCTATAGATATATTTTACGTTTTACATTGTGGATATCACAGTGCATAAATAACTTTTTTTTTTTTTTGAGATAGAGTTTCACCCTTGTTGCCCAGGCTGGAGTGCAATGGTGCTATCTCGGCTGACTGCAAACTCTGCCTCCCAGGTTCAAGTGATTCTCCTGCCTCAGCTTCCCAAGTAGCTGGGATTACAGGCATGTGCCACCATGCCCAGCTAATTTTTGTATTTTTAGTAGAGATGTGGTTTCTCCATGTTGGTCAGGCTGGTGGTCTCAAACTCTCGACCTCAGGTGATCCACCTGCCTCAGCCTCCCAAAGTCCTAGGATTACAGGCATGAGCCACTGTGCCTGGCCCATAATAACTTTTTTCTTCTTCTTCTTTTTTTTTTTTTTTTTTTTTTTTTTTGAGACAGAGTCTCACTTTTGTCACCCAGGCTAGAGTTCAGTGACTCAATCTCAGCTCACTGCAATCTCCGCCTCCTGGGTTCAAGCCATTCTTGTGCCTCAGCCTCTTGAGTAGCTGGGATTACAGATGTGTGCCACCATGCCTGGCTAATTTTTGTATTTTTAGTAGAGACGGGGTTTCCCCATGTTGGCCAGGATGGTCTCGAACTCCCAACCTCAGGTGATCGTCTGTCTTGGCCTCCCAAAGTGCTGAGATTACAGGCATGAGCCACTGCCCCTGGCCATTATTCTACACTTTAAAATAGAACATAATTATTTTCTTGTGATTAAAAAAAATTAAAAGTTTTGACTGTCTAATTTTCTGTCTATGTTGTACCACAACACACTCAACTTTTTTTTGAGCGTGTTAGGGTACAAACACACATTTGTGTGCTGTGGTCAAACAAAATACCTTTTGAACATTGTGTTTTCTATTATAAATTGTAAATAAAGAATGTGATGAATTTAAATAAGCTCCCATCCAGGGCTACATTTCAGTTCCCTGTCCTCCCTCCCCACCCCTACTTTACACTATGTACACAGGATAGATTGCTAGAAGTTGAATTACTTGATCTAACGGTATGAATATTACTGAGTTATGTTTTCCACCCAAATTCATATGTTAGTTAGGCCTAATCTCCAATGTGACTATATCTGGAGAGAGGGTCATTAGGAAATAAAGTCACAAGGGTAGGACCCTAACCAATAGAAAAGATTACTATAGTCTTATAAGTCTTATAAGAAAAGAAAGATATTTCTCTCTCTCCCTGCAGCCCTGCTCTGTAAGGACATAGCAAGAAGGCAGCCCTCTATAAGCCAGAGAGAGCCCTCACCAGAAATCAAATCAGCAGCACCTTGTCTTGGACTCCAGCCTCCAGAACTGTGGGAAATAAATTTCTGTTGTTTAAGCCACCGAATCTATGGTATTTTAATTTTATTATGGCAGCCTATGCAAACTAAGAAAACAGCTTTTTTTTTTTTTTTTTGGAAAGAGTCTCCCCTGTTATTCAGGCTGGAGTACAGTAACCCGATCTTGGCTCACTGCAACCTCCGCCTCCAGGGTTCAAGCGATTCTGGTGCCTCAGTCTCCAGAGTAGCTGGGATAACAGGCATGTACCACCACGACAGGGTAGTTATTGTACTTTCATTAGAGATGGGGTTTCACCATGTTAGCCAGGTTGGTCTCAAACTCCTGGTCTCAAGTGATCCAGCTGCCTCAGCCTCCTGAAGTGCTAGAATTCAGGTGTGAGCCACTGTGCCTGGCTTAAAAACATTTTTAAAGTTCCTGACTCATGTTGATAAATTACTTTTGAGAAAGAGGTTACCAACACACACTACTCTGGCAGTATATAAGAAGCTCTATTGCCCTGTACCCTCAACAACATTCAAAAAAAATTTTTTTAACTTCATTCTAAAATATATATATTTAAAGTATTTAAAAGTTCATACTTTCAAAGTTTTGTTTCATCAATTGTCTTCATTTTTATGGCATTGCCCCCTGAATCTGCCCATGTATTTTCAAGTTCCCAGTGTAGTAATATTTCATAGAAATAAAAATGTCTAATTGGGAATCCCAAAACAAAGCAAACAAACACATACAAACATTTAAAACTTTCAGCATTTTATCATTTCCATTTTTATAGTTATGGAAAGGAAAAGCTAAGAATTAAGAACCTGAGATGGTTTGAAGGCCATTTAAAAACAGGATCAACAATCAAAGACCATGATACAGTCTCTCTGATTTAAACCACTCACCTGTTTGGAAGAGAAAGATTTCATATTTGTTAGAAAGTAGTCATATCGAAAAATTGCCATAGAAGTGTAAATACACTCTCCCTTAGTAAATTTAAATAAAGCCCTTACTTGCAGAACACTCTCCTTTTCCTGATAAACACCCTAAATTATTATAGGTTTCATGCACAATAATTTTCTCTCCTGCTTGAAATAGAAGTAAGTGATTTAAGAGATATGTTGGAGTTTAAAACTAAATTCCACTTTCCCATCTAGTTTTATACTGAGAACATTGTAATGTACTCTCTACAAAATGCAAATATTTGTAGCATTAATTAGTTTACAATTAAACAGCAACAGAAATTTGCCAATTAATGCCACCAATAATTATCTTGAGGACAAACTCAGGGTGTTGTGACTTTATGTCTGACTCACTTTTCCATTCTTACTCCATTCTTAACTCACCTGTTCCATTCAGTATTACTTTACAGTACATCGTGGACTGTTTTCCTAACTTGGTCTTGAGTTGGCACCAAGTGCATGGAGATCAAAATATCTTTCACGTCAGTCTGTCTTGCCTCATAACATTCTCAAGCTGTTTTCCCCATTTTAGCATTTCAAGGGCAGTTCTCTCCTACTGGGTCCTCTTAAAGAGATGCCTGCAGTTGATAACAGAACAAAGAAAAGAGGAAATTAAATTCACCCGTTCTGATCAAGCAGGCAAAAGGGGACAATCCATTGTCAAACAAAAGATATTTCAAAAATCAACGGACTTTTGTTGTCTGAAAACCCAGCCAGAAATGTCCTCAACCCAGAAAGTTTTTCTTATGGACTTTGAATGTGCATCTTAATGCTATTTTTATAACATCAATGTTAGTTTTCATCTACCATAAATAGAAAAAAACCCACAACAACAACAAGCCACTGAGTTGAGGAATTGGAATGATGATTCGAGCAGCGTGATGAGTGAGTATGGCACGAAATTAAAATGTCAGTTCTTCATATAGAAAATGTTACATTTCAGAAAAAAAAAACCTCCATGGTTCTAAAAAGAAGTCACTTCAGTGATACTTTTTTTTTTTTTTTTTTCAATTTAGAAGTGCAGGGGTCAGAGGTGTTTGAACCAGAACAAACTCCATCTTGAATAGGAGCGTAGTAAATTAAGGCTGAGACCTACTAGGCTGCGCTCATTAAAGTATTCTTAGTCATAGAATGAAATAGGAGGTCAGCATAAGATATAGGTCATGCTAGGTGCTGTGGCTCATGTCTGTAATCCCAGCACTTTGGGAGGCCAAAGCGGGTGGATCACCTGAGGTCGGGAGTTCGAGACCAGCCTGACCAACATGGAGAAACCCTAATACAAAATTAGCTGGGCATGGTGGGGCATGCCTGTAATCCTAGCTACTCAGGAGGTTGGGACAGGAGAATCACTTGAACCCAGGAGGCGGAGGTTGCAGTGAGCCGAGATCGTGCCATTTCACTCCAGCCTGGACAACAAGAGCAAAACTCCGTCTCAAAAAAATAAAGAAAGAAAGAAAAAAGGAAAAAGATACAGGTCATAAAGACCTTACTGATAAAACAGGTTGCATAAAGATGGCTAAAACCCACCAAAACCAAGAAGGCGATGACAGTGACCTCTGGTGGTCTTCACTGCCACACTCCCAACAGCACCATGACAGTTTACAAATGCCATAGGCAACATTGGGAAGTTACCCGACATGGTCCAAAAAGGGGAGGTATAAATAGTCCACCCCTTGTTTAGCATATAATCAAGAAATAACCATGAAAATGGGTAACCCGCAACCCTCAGGGCTGCTTTATTCCTGTTCCTTCTTAATAAACTTGCTTTCACTTGTTTTATGGACTACCTTGAATTCTTTCTTGCACAAGATCCAATAACCCTCTCTTGGAATCTGGGTCAGGACTCCTTTCCAGTAACAGGGGCATAACAATTCTAATTTCTTAAATGTCTAATGTGTGCTATAAATTGAACAGAAAAGATGCAAGTAAGTGTCTATAATTTACTTGAAATTAGTTTCAAATTTAATTCTTCCTCTGTGTTCACTTCGGTGTGGAAAATGCCTGTTTTTAAAAAATAATTGCATAGAACAAAGATGTTTCCTTATATTAGGTTCTAATAAAATTGAATACATGCTGGAAAGTAATATTTGCATAGTGTCGGTTGAAACTTTTAGAAAAGACTTGAGTGTAATTCAAAGAACATTTTGATTCCTATAGAAAATTAGATGGTGTTCCTCTTCTTTCTATTGACCTAAATGTACACCCCAGGATAAGTGGTATCAGAGGATACCTTAGGAGCGGTATGGCTATTCCATGTCACTACACTTCAGCCAGGTTCTAGAGAATTGAATATATTTGTATTTTCCACCAAGAAAGAACTTTCTCTAATAAAACACAAATGTCGGCCGGGTGTGGTGGCTCACACCTATAATCCAAGCACTTTGGAGGCCAAGGCGGGCAGATCACCTGAGGTCAGGAGTCCAAGACCAGCCTGTCCAACATGGTGAAACCCCTTTTTTTAAAAAAAATAAAAATAAAATAAAACACAAATGTGGCATAAAAGTGGTAACACAGCTTTGTCAAGAGTGTCCAAAATTATATGTTGGCAAATTTTAGACAAATTAGATGTTATCAAGCCCCTAATCTAAAAGAAAAATAACAGGGCTGGGTGTGGTGGCTCACACCTGTAATCCCAACACTTTGGGAGGCTGAGGTGGGTGGATCACTTGAGGTCAGCTGTTTGAGACCAGCCTGGCTAATATGGCAAAAACCTGTCTCTACTATAAATACAAAAATTTGCTGGGCATGGAGGCAGATGCCTGAAATCCCAGCTACTTGGGAGGCTGAGGCGCAAGAATTGCTTGAATCCAGGAGGAGGAGGTTGCAGTTGGCAGAGATCATGCCACTGTACTCCAGCCTGGGCAACAAAGCAAGACTCTGTCTCAAAAATAAATAAATTAATAAATAAATTAATTAAATGAATGAACAAAAAATAACAGTATTAAGTGATTACTTTGTACTAGGCTATATACTAAGTCTGTCACTTGTATTACCTCAATGTAATACATTGGGCTTACTATTATCATGCTACAGATGAAGAAACTGAGACTGGGAGATGTTAATTTATCTCCCCATGATTATACAGCTAGTATGTGTTGGAACTGTGATTTCAATCTGCATCTTTAAAGCCACTTTAATGTTTCTGTCCCTGTGCAAAATCTGTAACCACTGAATGGGCTCATCCTGCCTGCTGCACAGATAAAGACCACAGCATTGCAGTAAAGAAAGAGTTTAATTTACGTGAGGCCAGCCATGCCACATGGCCACACCATATGGGAGACAGAGTTATTACTCAAATCAGTCTCATAGAAGGATCCCAGGTTAGGGATTTTTCCAAAGGCAGTTTGGAGGAAGGAAGGGGGTGACTAAGAAATTGGTGTTTGCTACTGATTTAGTTAGGTCAGAGATAAAATTATAGAGGGTTAAAGCTGTCTTCTTTAGCTGAGTCACTCCTGGGAGGGTGAGCACTGGAGTGGTTTGGTGGGTCCAAGTGGAGCCATCAGGGTCAGACATGCAAAAAAACCTCAAAAGATATCTCAAAGGCCAATATAAAATTGTGATGTTATCTGCAGATATAAATAGGGAAGTTTCATATCTTGTGGCCAGTCTATACCTTTGCAGAGTTCAGCTCCTCTTCTCCCCCTACCTAGCTTGGTTGTCTCTCATTAGCTTTACAGGGTGGTTGAGTTTTGGAGAAAGGGCTATTATCATTTAAACGATAACCTAAACATCTTCCAAAGTCAGCTCAGGAATAATTAAAGGCAGCATGAAAGCTAAAGGCAAGAGGGGTGTGGCCTAGATCAGATCTTCCTCACTGCCATAATTTTTTTCACTGATAAAATTTTTCAAGTCCTCTTGGCTAAGACAGCACCTACTCTTGTGATAGAGGAGTTGGAATGTTTCTTTGGTGCCATATTATTAAAATGTTAAGACATTTTATAAATAAATCACACAAATTAATTTTTACCATTCCCTACAAAGCAGCATTAAGGTCTGAATTGGATATTTTGAAATCAGTACATGCTAAGATGTCATCATGCTTGATTTAGTAGCTGAAAATCCTGGTCAGGGGTCTCAGTTTCCCTAACGTGGCTATGAATGTGGGGACTTGAGCCTCTTTGAGCTGTTTTATAACTCTGAAAGTCATAAAAAAGGATAAAGCAGATGATTATTGTCTCTAGAAATGCAAATGAATTTTGTTAGAGGAATACAATTGATCATTGCCCATGGATATTGACCAATTTTGCATCAATTAGTAAATTTATTTCAGCATTCCTGATTGTGCGTGTGTGTGTGTGTGTGTGCACGTGTGTGTAGAAGTGATTTTTGATTCTCCTTTGAACCAATGGTAACATCTTGCTGACTCTCCCATTATTTAAAGAACTAGGCCGGCGGCGGTGGCTCATGCCTGTAATCTTAGCACTTTGGGAGGCCGAGGTGGGCGGATCACCTGAGGTCAAGAGTTCAAGACCAGCCTAGCCAACATGGTGAAACCCTGTCTTAAAAAAAAACTAAATAATTTTTTTATATAAGTTCATTTTGTATTTGTATATGACTCATAATTTGCCAATTAAAAAATTCCTTTTACTCTTCTTTATTTCTTCATTCCATTTCAGCATCTGATGCAGGGGTTGACAAACTGCAGCTCAGGGGCCAAATCCAACCCCAAAAAGAGTATATAATTTACCTCAAATGGTTCAGAAAATAAAAACTGTGTGTGCGTCTGTGTATGTCTGTACAAAGTTTTGAGAAGAAAAGGGTATTACCCAGTCAGGTACAGTGGTTCATGCCTGCAATCCCAGTACTTTGGGAGGCCAAGGCAGGCGGATCACGAGGTCAAGAGATCGAGACCATTCTGGCCAACAAGGTGAAACCCTGTCCCTACTAAAAATACAAAAATTAGCTGGGCGTGGTGGCGTGCACTTGTAGTCTCAGCTACTTGGGAGGCTGAGGCAGGAAAATCACTCGAACCTGGGAGGTAGAGGTTGCAGGGAGCCGAGATTGTGCCACTACACTCTAGCCTGATGACAGAGTGAGACTTTGTCTCAAAAAAAAAAAAAAAGAAAAGAGTATTACTCAAGAATTCTGTTCCCAGCTGCTAAATCATGATTCATGTGAAAGAATAATTTTTAAATATACAAGGGCTTAAGAAGTACATCACTCCTATACTATTGCTTTAAAAATCTATCTGAATACATGGCAGGACATGGTGGCTCACCCCTATAATCCCAGCGCTTTGGGAGGCCAAGGCAGGTGAGTTACCCAAGGTCAGGAATTTGAGATGAGACTGACCAATAGGGTAAAACCCTGTCTCTACTAACAATACAAAAATTAGCTGGAGGTGGTGGTACATGCCTGTAACCCCAGCTACTCTGGAGGCTGAGGCATGAGAATCACTTGAACCTGACAGGCAGAGTTTGCAGTGGGTGTAAAGACTCCAGCTTGAGCGATGAAGTGAGACAATGTCTCAAACAAAACA